GCTTCTGACAACACACACTCGAGTGAAAGCAGGCATTGGGAAGGCTACTGTTCTATGAGCCAGCTCAGTACAGCCACAGTTGCTCTATGTGAAGGAACAGAGTTGAAGGTACACCCTGCAGCAGTCAGCAATTTCAAACAATATACAAAAGTTTGCAATTTGGTAGAGCTTTAAGGCAAGAGATTTATTAAAAGTATAAAAAGCAGTTCATATGATGGAGGAATTTTATATAGGCTAATTGACACAGCTGCTGACTTAAGGTAAATTAAAAGGTAAAGCAGCAGACATACTGTAAGGCAAAGGCACAGCATCAGGTCTTGTTTCTCCAAGCCAAAAACACATGAACACAAACACATAAAGTCTAGGATTTGGAGCACAAAGTGTAGCGTGCTGCCTCCAGCCAGACATACGGTCTACTTGAGGAGACGAGGATTCTCTCTCAACACACAACTGGTTTATTAGAAGGCCAAAGTGGTAGTCTTAATTGTTTCCACATTGTGGCACATCATTTTTGCATACTTCTAGTGTGTTTAAATTCCTTTGTGTTCACAGTCCAAAGATACATCCATGGTCAGTGTGGAGACACATGTGGTCTTGAGTTTAGATGATGGGATGGAGTGAAGGAGCTGCAGCGGAGAGAATTCTATGTGAAGCAGGAACTCCTGGTTCAGGACTACAATAGCGAAAGCCTCTGACATAAGGCACAAGGCGAATCTCATTGTAAATTAATTTATCTTTGACCTTTTGAAACCAGAAAAACTTGTAATACACATTTGCAGCTCCCTTGGCAATGCCCCAAACCTCTGTTAAAGTCATTCAACTATGATTATTTACAGAATCTGTGCTGAGGTTAGATGATTAATATATTAATATAAATTATAATATAAATTAACATTAAATAATATAAATAATTTACTACTATTATTACCATTTATCATTAAAGGTTACTAGGTCAAGATTAATTCATATTTCATCAGACTCTAGTGGATTACAGTGCAGGAACTGCAGAGAATCCTGGTAAGGTATTGACTATTTTATATAACTGAAAAATATTTGAGACATTACTGTGGTATTTTAGACTTAGTTAAATCGTCTCCTATTACTTGGGGTTATTATTTTCTCTCTAGATTAAAACAAACAGAGGAATGAGAAGAGAGCACAGGCCTTGTTCTGTAATATTAGGAACATTATGTCATGCTGCTGCTGTATTTCCACTGAGCAGTAAAATCCGGCCAGCAGCTCTCATTTATAAGCATTATGCATAATGAATCCTGATAAAACCTAGTACATTTAAAATATGGTTGTGTTGTTGTTGTTGTTTGATTATAGAGTAGGATTTTCTCACGGAAATCATTAGAAAGAAGAGTAAAGGTTTTTCTGTTCTGATAATATATGGCTTTTGAGTACATTTAAAACACAACTGAATTCTGGGAAGTACTTCATGTACACACTAGAAGAAGAATAAGTTGCTTCAGGTGTTTGAGAATGACTTGGCAAACTTGAAAACTTTTCAAAGCCTCACCAGTATTTCATCTTCATCCAGCTCTCAGCGACATGTCATAATTACTTCCAGAAAAGAAATGTATCTTTTTGCCCGTCACCTGGATGTCCGTCGTTTTCCTCACAGACCCGAACGTCTTTCAACAATGACACATGTGCCTGAGCTCGCTGATGTCTACTGAATCATTAATGGCCCTATTACCGCCTGATACATCTTTTAGCAGCAGCTGTCTCATTTCTGAAGACTGGGCCAGTTTTTAATAGCTTCATCTCTGGCCATTTTTGGAAAAAGGGCACAGTGTTTCAATTAGTGGGAGAAATGAATGTTTCCATACTTACAGCCTGTCTGCCATTACGTTTACTTCACGGTTATTTATTTCACTTCATTAAGTCCCAATTACAAAACCACGTTACAGGAAGTAGTGTATCATGTAGTAGACCAGTGGTTCGTAACCGGGGGGGTCGCGAAATATTTTCAACCTCAAAAAGCGGTCAGACTGCCAGAAAGGTTAAGAACCCCTGTAAAGACATTAGAGCATCCAGGCTTGTCCTGGCAGTAATATGGAGTAAATGCTTTTTATTTACTGGTGTTGTTATTATCCTGCTTCACCTCTAGCTGCTCCCTCACATTCAGAGGCCATACAGGGTGCTAGGGCTGCCCTCAGACCCATAAAAGATAAGGTGGACGAATGACCACATACACAAACAAACACACAGCCATGTTTCGGTACAAATTTGCACACATGTGTGCAGCAAATGCAAACATAAGGTGGCAAGATACACAAGTGTTCTCCTGATAATCATTTATAGAGCCCGGTGGCGAGGGGCAAAGTGCTGTTATCGCATGCCAGCAGCAAATTTCAGCTCTCAAAAACCCTCCACACCAAGCTGCAAACACCATTAGCTTGTACATTCAGGAGATATGATGTGTACTTTCTGTAGATTTGCCAAAGTACTTCTTGTCTGCTGCCATCCTATAGGAACATAATGAGTCTGTCTTTCTACCCTGCTATATCCAGTCAAAAGTCCATTATCATGTGAGAACCAAAAGACTTAATCCTTTCCATGTTGTTGTGTCTCAGAGGATTTGGGGAGTCCTTCAGAGCTGGATCGAACAGAGCTGCTTTCAATGCTTTTTTCCCTGTTGTTTTGCATGGAAGGTTTGTCTTCAAAGGAAAATTTTATGATGTGTTAGTGCTAATCTGCTGTGCCCCTGATTGTGCTCATGTAAAACTGTCTCTGCTTACATGTAGGCGAAAGCAGGCCTAAAATACTAAAGGCTCTGTTCACAACACAGAGGGCAGATGCATCCCCTCCTGTAAGAGATTTATCAACAAGAGTTGAGGCAGTAATTCTCCCTAGTGGATGTTCAATAATTCATGCCAAGACACTTTCTCAAGCTTATGGTGAGAGATTGGTAATTGTCTTACCACGCAGTGCTCTTCCCCTTCCTCTCTGCTCTGCATAATGTATGTTATTAAATCCATATCCACATACATCTGGGTGTTTTGTTGTAGATTTATGGGGCGCGTGTACAATATGAATCATCCATTTAATACTTTGCCAGGGAGGACAATTACCTTTGATTATAATGGAGGTTGACTAAATGTCCCGTAGCATGCTGCTTTACCCTACTTACCGCGTTTTCAAAAGATATTGTAGATTCTTGGTGGACAATCACTTTAAGGCCACAAAATGTTGTAGAATTAAATTTCAATGGGTTGAGGGCATATATTATGTCTTTGATGTAAAACACTTAAACAAAGGCTTGAAAACCTCCAATGGATGGCCAAAATAGTGGTCAAATCCAGCATACTCTATCTGTTAGCACATTAAAACCTCAGAATTGCATAAATGTAAATATTTATATACACATTGTTCACATTTGTCTTCTATCTGTCAGAACACATATAATGTATATACAAAATGTCTGAGTGACCAAGGATAATGGCAAATGTCTACAGCTACACTAGCAGCTCTGAGAGGCTGTAGCCTACTGATTTTTTTTTGTTAAATGCTAACGTCAGCATGCTAACATCCTCATGGTGACAATGCACACACATACTAATGTTTAGCATGTACAATGTGTGTTAGCATGCTAACATAGTAGCACTAAACACAATTTAGGCTACAGCTGAACCTGATGGGAATGTCATTAGTTTTGCATATATTTATTGTATAAACCAAAGTATTGAACGCATTCAAATTTTGACCTGACGCTGCTACATGGGGTCATGTCCTGAGGAGGACATGAATGTCTACCATATTTAATGGCAATCCATCCAATAGCTGTCGAGATATTTCAACATCGCCATTCCTACAGCTTTAGGCTTAAAACTGAAAACAAGTACAATGTCATAAGCATAAACAGTACACAACTTTATTCAGTGTTTTAGAGCCTGTCTGCCTGCTATAGTGGTGGGAGTTCACTCAGATATGCTGTGTTAAATGATGAATGAACAGTGGAGGAAGGAAGAAAGAGAGAAGAGGGAGAGAGGGACCAGCGGTATCCTGGAATGGCCCAACCTGGAGCACAGTGTAATGTAGTGTGTCCGTGATCAACTGTGAATTGGGTGGGATGAGGTGGCAACAGAAAAGACTTCTTTAAATTCGGAATGTGTAGAGCCCATGAGTTGAACCCTCTAAATTCACCTAATCAGCTTTGTCATACTGAAGCAGTGTGTGTGCTTGTGTGCATATACATATGTGTATGTGTGCGGGAAGCTGAGTGTGCTTACTTACCAGACAGATGCTTAGGGAGTCATAAAGAATTTAATAGCCTTCGCAGCGACCTTAGCAGCTACTGTATTGCAAATGGTTGGCTGCTGATAATACAGCCAAGGGTGCAAATCAGGATGTTTTTGATTGTAGATTGATTTCTGGTGAGAATCCATCATGCAACAGAGCACATCAATACAGGTTGTGAGGTGACCACATATGCTCATAAAGAATCTGTTCAGGGACCGATCTTTAAAAATAAATAACATGTTTCTGTATGTTTGCACATTTAGGACTCTATTTATAGATTTCTGTATGTGTGCCCAAACCCTGGAGTGACTGGATGTTTGTATGTGTGCTCTCCCTTGTGTAGTGTCTGATGGCGAGCTGTACCGTGCTGGGCCTAATTTTAGGCTGCTGATGTGTGATGTGTTTTGGCTCTGGCTGTGTCGGAGGTGTGATGTTTATCTCTTCCTCTGGGGAATAGCTGTGACAGCCCTTTTCAATTGACCAACGCGTGTTACAGAGGCCCTTCTTACAGCTAAATACTGTAAATCTCCCAAATGTGCCGCTACATTACCATAAAAATTTGTTCAGCAAACTATTAAACCTCTGACCCAAGTCTAATCTACTCTGGACGGCCGAGAATACAAAAGGGTCTTACATCAGATGTTTGTCTTTTCTATCACTGTGATGTCCACAAAATAGAACAAAAAATAACCCCAACTGTATTGTTTTTATATTTGAACCTTTAACACAATCTCTCTCTGGCCTCCCAACAGATTGAAGACATAGTTACGCGAATCCAAGATGAGAAGGCAGGCGGTGTGGCCATCCGGACTGTCAAAAGCTTCCTCTCCAAGATCCCCAGTGTAGTATCAGGTTAGGATTTGTGTGTGCACATGTGTGTGTGTACATGCTTGTTTACTGTACATGGCTGTGTGTGATTCGTCCTTGTGTGTTGCTTCCTTAAGGTTCTTGGCATGCAGCTGATAATTCTGTGTGCTGTGTTTGTGTGTGTGTGTGTGTGTGTGTGTGTGTGTATAGGGGTTTTGTTGTCTCACTCAGCGAGCGGACTTAGAGACAACCGACGAGTCAGAATCATTAAAGCAAATATGACCTTTTGGCCTCATTTAAATTTCTGCTACTACGTTTAGAGGCAAATAATGTCTTTGCCAGTAAGACTGCAGCCACTGAGGAAGCTGCCTGTGGTGTGAAACCACAGAAAAGCTGCTTTTCTCTTTTTCATTTCTGTCTGTGTCCCTCTGTGTGTATGCATGCACTGTACTCCTTCATGCGTTTGTGTATGAAATGAGTCACCAGTATTGGACGAGGAGGTTGCTCCCGCTCTCCCAGAGGTTGTTCTCTGAGTCACTCCTTCACATGGGTCCCCCAGGGCCGATGCTCTCACCATCTCTCTCAGCAGCCTCTGCCAAGCACAAAGTCTGCGCCAAATTTTGTGCTGTCCAGGAGCAAAGAGTGAGGAAGGACTTATGTTATATTTAGACACCTATTGCCTTGACCCACAGAGACAAATCACAAAGACTTCCCCAAAGCTCATTAGTGGTTGTGGATTGCACCTTTTGTCTAAACTATTGCAGATGAGAAACTGTGTGTCACTTCTGACTAATGTCCTTCTCTGAATACCAGGGGCGGAAATTGTTCAGTGGCTGATGAAAAACCTCTCCATTGAGGATCCAGGTATGCCTGCTGAGCAATCTGTCATTACTTGTAAGCACAAAAGAGCTCAATTGAAGAGAAAGGCAATTTTGAATCATGCCCCTCTCCCGTCTCTGTGCCTTCCCTCATGTCAACAGCTGAAGCCATCCACCTTGGGAGTCTGATCGCTGCCCATGGCTACATCTTCCCCATCTCTGACCACGTCCTGACACTTAAAGATGATGGAACCCTTTATCGCTTTCAGGTACATAAAGATATGTGTTAGGAGGCCTTTGAGTATAGAATAATAAGATGATGGTAGTATATCAGAGGGATAGTTTATTGTGTGATGCTAACGAGTGCAATCCTTGCTAAGCCTATTACTCATCACACCAAGGTCGATACTGTATATCCCTGCTGGACGCTGCATCAGAGCAGGAGGTGAGCCGCAGAACGGTGCCTTCAGGGAAGCCATGCAGCTTGTCAGAGGGATGTTTTTTTTCTCTGCTCCATCTGATCCAGCATGAACTTTGACAGGTCCCTTTGATGGCTCCGCAATGACTCATTTCTGTGACTATTAGCATCTTAATCCGGCTATGGGAAGCACTGGCCCTGGCGCACGCTGGCTCTGCACTTTTCACTGTCACCCGCCTGCTCCTCCCCCTCATCTAACTCCAAATGCATTTTTCTTCACCTCTATTGCTCAAGATTAAAAGCCATTATTGTGCCTGTGCAGGGAGGGCAGTATGTGTCACACTTGCTCATTCAGCGGGGGCTAAAAATATTCCCTCTGATGTCGTGATGCAACAGGCCCACGTCATCAGAACATCTAAAAAGAGTCCACCATGCATTTGAAATGTATTGGCTAGACCACATAGCTGCGCTGTAAGGATTAGTGACAGGCGGATGTTTGTTTGCTGGTCTATAAATAAATACTATTCTGGTAGAAGACCCAAATTTAATGACAACTGTCTTGTGTTGTTTGTCACAAATTTGCAGTTTTAAGCATGCAGTGAAGTCTTATAGATAATCTTTTGAGTTAAAATGACAATTATAATGCTGAATGACAGCATGTTAACCTTTCTGTTAATTTCCCTCAAACAAGCACATTCATCAGCGTCAGCCTTTTGCTCTTAGGCTAATAACCGTTATGAGTAATAGTGGAAATGATATATGTGTACCGCCAACTTCTAATTCTGCCTTCTTATTAAGAATGCATGATAGATGTGAGCGATCTATTATTAATGGACTTGGGAATGAACTTTGAATGTGTGATATAATTTGCAATAGACATTAAACTATGGATAGAGAGAATATAGCTACCATTGCTCCCCAGATAGTTATGTGCAGCACACGGACATCAATGATGATCATCAAAGAGCCGTCTTTTCATTTTGCGTGGAAGTGCAGTGGGAGCGTGGGTGGTGGGAGAAATGAGATTCCCACATTCATATTGTAGATTATTATTGTTTATCTAGAAAAGAATGTAATGCTGATTATATGAGTAAATAAACAAAATCTGTTTCTGTTCCATCCCCTTCTGTTTTCATCAGTCTCCATACTTCTGGCCTTCAAACTGTTGGGAGCCTGAGAACACAGACTATGGTGAGTCACATGCTGTCTCTCAGATTTTGCCTCTTTGTCCAAACCAGCAAAGTCTTGCTAATGCCTTCGGCTGTCTCTCTTCCTCCAGAGCTGAAACCCAACTCATACTGTTGATCTGTTGTTGACACTCACCGAGTATTGATCCACAGGGCCGTCCCTTGTAATGTATGTGGCCTTGAGAATCCTGCAGGACAAGATTAGCACGAACAAAATAAAAGGACAGTCACTCATATGAGCACATCTCCACATCTCTCTGCATGGCATTCACTCAAGGCTTGTTATTTCAGAAGACAACACATTGCCTGCCTGCTCCATTCATTAGTGTTGGTTCACACAGCTGAGACCTCAGTAAAAAAAAGAGAGCACCATCCATTGGAGATATTGCATTTTTATTTTGTAGTTAAAAAGCAGATAACCCATCTGACAAACTCTATTGCTCTCTCTTGCTTTTCAATTCAAAGCGGCTTTATTGGCATGGGAAACAGATGTTGCCAAAGCAAGTGTGAAATAAAAACAATGTACATCCACAGAAGAATTGTCATGTTGCTGTTAGAAACATATGTACATATACATGTAAGCTTAAAATAAAATAGGAAAACAATTTAGACTTGCAGTTAAAAAATGTCTTCATATCGCATTCTGTCTCTCTTTCCCCCTCCAGCCATTTACCTGTGCAAGCGCACCATGCAGAATAAGGCCAGGCTCGAGCTAGCTGACTATGAAGCTGTAAGTACACTAGTGGTTTAGCGATTGCCAGAAAGCTCCCAGTTCAATGATATCATAATATGATGACACTCTGAATTTCCTGTTTTCTTTCACAAAAGAGCTGAAACAGTGTCCTCTGGGGCCTTGAAATGCCAAGATCCATTCTTCCCAGCAAAAAGCCATTATCAAATTACAGACTTTTATATAAATCCATCAAAGGTCATTTTTCTTTTTCATGATAACCATTTGGCAGAATACAATGCAGTGATTCACTGGCTCCAAAATATATACAAAAGTATCTATAGGCCCACTTGGCGTCAGCAAATCGATACAGTCTCAAGAGGGGCATTACTGCAGTGCTGATCTCTTGCTGTTACACAATAGTGATGCACTGCACTTTAATATTCTAAATTACTCTGCAACTATTGTCCAGCAGACTTCCTTTCTCTCCTATTCAGGTCACTTTATGCCTCCAGGCCTCATTGCTCTCACTGTTAACATGCCTACTAGTTGGTACTGAGAATTTTTTGTCTCTTTGTAATGAGGTCATGTACTGTAAACTTGACAGATGCTTGTTTTGGTTGTGTGTCACAGTTTAGTATACAGCTTTCATATGTGTATGGAGTTTATTATGGAGCTTTAAAGAGCTTGTAAAGCAAAATGTATCATGCAATGTTGCACTCAATGTGCTCATGGTTTTGTGGAATGAGTTGTGACCATTGTTGGTAACCATCCCCTGCTGGCCTCCAACATTACAGATGATAAAAATAGAACATGCAGAATTTTAGCCACATAAAACGAATTACTTTATAATTTCGAAAGTCCATATTGTTCCTGGTAACAGGCAAATATTTAGGGAATATTTATGTTGGAAGTTGCATTTGTTGGCCTTCTTGCCAAGAGTTAGATGAGAAGATTGATACCACTCTCACGTCTGCCATGCTAAGCTAACTGGCTACAGCCAACAGCTGGTTAGCTGAACTTAGCACAAAGACTGTAAACAAGGAAAATGCTAGCCTGGCTTTGTCCAAAGCTAACAAAATATGCATAGCAGCAGCTTTAAAGCTCACTAATTAACATGTAGTATCTTGTTAGTTTAATATATACAAAATAAGGGTCAAGACTTCAGGACGTTACTGGGCCTTACCAAAAAATTGTCTGGCACATAAGCCTTACTAAAACCACAATGTGTATTTTTTACTCTTTATTTTAGGTACGGATTAAAGAAATGCCATACAACATAGTGAGCTTTAGAGGCACAGGCAAATTTTGTTAACTTTCCCCATGTTTCCAGTCTTTATGCTAAGCTAAGCTAACTGGCTTTTTGTGCTAGCTTTATTTAACTCTCCCAAAATGTCAAATTATTCCTTTAAGAATACAGTGATTAGTTACAGTTGTTACACTGATTTAATAAATAATAGTGTGTACAAAAACAGAGGCTATACATGAAACTCCAAATTCTGTGTGGTAGCAGCAGTTCAGTAACTTGTTGAGGACACATTGGTGAGAGGTCGTCTCATCTCAGCAGCGGTAATCCAAAGTTATGGCACTCCATCACAGTGAATGAATAATGTAATCATCCAACGGCCTTGAATTCAAATAACCGTCTCCCCTTCGCCTGATTGGTTCCTCCAGGAGAACCTCGCCCGGCTGCAGAGGGCTTTCGCCAGGAAGTGGGAGTTTATCTTCATGCAAGCTGAGGCTCAAGTCAAGTGAGTATGTGCGTACACGTGAGTCAGAACATGACACCTATTGATGAAAGTGTCGTTCTAACATGACACACTTACAGTAGGAGAGCTGCAGGGATAGTGAGATGTTGATGAAATCAGGTTTATACATTCATACTTTCCCCCAAGGAAGAGAAAATGCTTCAGCATGCAGTGTCAGTTGGGTGTGGAGCCAATGCTTTTCTCATTAACAATGCTCTGTTTTTAAGCCCTGCTTTGACTGGAGGGTGACATGCATTAAATACAGCAAGTATTCCCCTATGGAATGAAACACACAATTCTCCCTAACCTCTATGTCTTAGTAAGATCTCCATCTGGTGGCTTGCATGTGTAAGCACACCACTAATATCTCAAAAGCACAGCACTGATGTGAAATCAGTGGGATTTGTCTTTTGTCTGTAAAAATCTTAAAAGTCGTGCTGTTGTTGGTTGCTGTTTTGTACAAGTGTTGGTGATGTGGAAAGTCTTCTTACATCTGGGGAGTAAACAATAGCTAACAAGGGCCGATGAGTAAATGTCAGTTATGTAAGAACTTGGCCCCACCAGCGGCAAAACCAGACATCGCTTAGTGAGGCAAGCAGACAGGTTAAGACCCACACTCTTCAGCATTTTGCTCTCCAGTCTGGCTTGTCAGTGGTATTAACATGTACGTGTGCCTGTGTGTGTGTGTGTGTGTGTGTGTGTGTGTGTGTGTGTGTGTGTTTGTGAGAGTGTATAAGTTAATTCTGGGTTAATTTATCGTGTTTGATCAGATATTTCCAAGGTGTGCGCTCTGTATCTGAGTGGCCTGTTTCCACTGTCCACAGGATCGACAGGAAGAAAGACAAGGCAGAGAGGAAGATCCTGGACAGCCAGGAGAGGGCATTCTGGGACGTCCATCGTCCAGTGGTGAGTTAGGACTAAAGTCGTGTAAAAATGAAAAGGAAAGGATGCATTAAGTAAGGAAATTATGCAGTGTAAGCATGGCAATGAACAAAGAAGAAAGAAAGAAAACAACTGTTATGTAGGTAGACAATTTTAGCACTTAAAGCCTGAAAACAGCAGATTCAGCTCCACACTGCTGAAAGCCATGTTTTGTTGTTGAGGGCAGAATCAGATTTGGTGCCAGTCTCTTTGCATACGAGCCTTTTGTGAGCATGGCATTGCTGAATAAAGAAAACAGCACTGTATTGTGCGAGGACGAGGACAGGCGCAGACTATACATGCTGGAGAAACACTGTTATCTGACCCAGAAACACACTCTGTCTCCTGCCGCCTCCCACAGCCAGGCTGTGTCAACACCACAGAGATGGACATCCGCAAGTGCCGAAGAGAGAAGAACCCACACAGGGTAAAAAAGGTGAGGAGAGAAGACAAAGCTGGTGTGATACATGACAGTTTAGCTTTCTAAACATTAATATTATCATCTCAGCACTGGTTTTTAATTTATCACAAGACCGTCCCACAAAGGGCCATAGCCATTAACCCAACTCTCCAGTCCTGAAGATTTTTTTGACTAGCCATTTTCTGTACAGTTTTATCTCCTTAAATGTTTTGAGCCTTTTCCACAGTGCCAGGTTATAATTCTGGTGGGTAGAATTACAAAACCCCTTACTTTCCAGTATTCCCTACTTTTACACAGTAAATGAAATATTTTAATTAAACGTTTGTTTGTTTGTTTTCTCACAAAAAATCCAAAATACTAAAAATATAAATGCATTTTTTTAGTTATTGAAATATTTTTATAAAATTCTTAATTCTTGTAAAATATTTGAATAATAAAGTTTCTGTTGCTATTTTTAATACTAAATGATCAGTATATTTTTTGCTTAGTCATAAAAAAATATTTTTCTAAAATCTAATTTTAATAAAACATTTGAATACATCAAATATAAATTAAAATAATCTGTATACATATTTGGATTAGTTTATAGTTTTTAGTAAATATTTGTATACAGCAAATATGTCATTTTTGTGAAAAGTTTTTAAATAGCACATTTATGTTGACTATCTAAATGTATATATTGCTTAGTTATAAAAATAATTAAAAAATATATAAAATGACAATTTCTGTATATACATTTTTTGTTTAGTTATAAAGTGTATAACTATTTACAAAGGTTACAAATTTTGTTTTATCTGAATACTATCTATATATATTTAAAAATATATATATATAAACCTAAATCTAAACTCCTCTTCAGGTCAATAAAACCCCAAATTCTCAAACACAGTACTGAGACCTTGGTATCTTCATTTGTGCTACTGGTCCCACAACTGTTACCTGACATTTTTCAAACTGCTCTATAGGTCTGTCATGGTTTTTCAAAACCCACTGGCATCAAAAACAAAACAAGGTTGACTACGTCTCCCCTTTTGCCTTCTCTAGTCGGTCTATGGGGTACCAGATGACGGCCAGAGCCAGCCGAGTCCCATCCACATCAGCTCCCAGCCGACCAGGAAGCCCACAAAAGAGGACGTGCAGAAGGAGGTAACTCACAGTGTGACAGTCTTCTCCACAGGTTGTTAGCACCAGTCTGCCTCAGCCATCCATCATAACGCCAGTCGGGGACACAGACTGATGGGCTATTTCCTTATTTAGCTTCCTCATTACTCTCTCTTCCTCTCCATCAGATTACCTTCTTGAATGTCCAGCTGGACAGACACTGCATGAAGGTTTCCAAAGTGGCCGACAGTCTGATGAGCTACGCGGAGCAGTTCATGGAATATGACCCCTTTGTGTCTGCCACAGAGCCCTCCAACCCTTGGCTCAGCGACGACTCTTCCTTCTGGGACTTGGAGGCAAGGTGAGGCTGGAGGGGCCATGTAGGGATGCGGACTGAGAGTTCACCAGGGGCTCATAATGCTTTAAACCAACGCTGAGGTCAGGTGGAGCGTAAAGGTCTCGGTGCTGATTAACTTTTGTTGTCCAGAATTAGGAGGGATCTGTCTGTTTGTATCTTGTAACTAATGCTGGCATTCCCAAAGGTTGACTATGTTCTGACCCTCAGGGGAAATGACTTGTAAACAATGAACCACTCGTTTCTATTCTATCCTATTATATTCTATCCTTTTCTAATCTGTTTTTATTGTGAGCAGTCGTGACCCCAGCCAGCAGCGTGTGAAGAAATGGGGCTTCTCTCTGGAGGAGGCACTGAAAGATCCTGCAGGACGAGACCAGTTCCTGAAGTTTCTGGAGTCAGAGTTCAGCTCAGAGAACCTGCGGTGAGGCTTTCATTGTACCTCATGCCTTTCTTAAAGTGGCTATAGTCAATATTTTTATAATGAACTGAGTGGAGTGGTGGAGGCCAAAAACAGAGCTAAAATAGAGTGAATATTGGACTTAAATTCATCAGGTGGCCATAAATATTATAATTCCAAATGAATGCAAATGCTGTTCCGTATCTGTTGAATGTGTAAATGAGCAAATGTTTGCTAACAGGTTTGCAACATAAACTTCAAAGGTGAGAATATGTCGGTGTTGTGTTTTACAGCTTTCCATAGCCCCAAAACCTTCGTTATTTTGGGTTCAAGTACTTTTCTGTCCCTCTACAGTATGGAATGGTTTGTGGGATATTTTAGCATGATAATGCAGTTGCTGCAGATATTATAACCAAACAAAAATAGAACAAAGTTGATGATCAATCTAGATTATAACATCTTTCTGCAGTGGCCAAAAGTAAATCATGTACAGTTTTGAAATACTTGTACTTTACTTGAGTATTTCCATTTTATGCTACTCTTGACTTCTACTCCACTACATTTCACACGGAAATAATGTACTCGACAGTTATGTAACAAATCAAGCATAGCGTTATACGCTAGAGCCCGCCTGCCCTTGCTGCTTCCTCTGCAAGCAGCTAGTAACCTGCAGGGTATACTCTCTCTCAAAAAAGAGCCATACCACAAAACACAACTTACTGTGGCGCAAATATCAGTTTCTTTGATGAAAGTTGTCCTGACTGAACTATTGTTACTTTTCTGATTACAATTTTAGATGTAAAACTTATGATCATGTTGTAACTGCTGTTTTTACCCCAAAAAATAAGTAGAAATTCACAAGTACGTTTACATATTGTAGAAATATTCCTAGTTCATCTCTATAAGAATGAATTTAACAAAACAGGCAGCTCAACTGTCAATGTTTACACTGTATGTTATAGTTTTGTGATGTTTTAATTAGATATGATGCTGTTGTAGGTTCTGGTTAGCAGTGCAAGACCTGAAGCGGCGGCCGCTTCAGGAAGTGCCCTCCAGGGCGCAGGAGATCTGGCAGGAGTTTCTGGCTGAGGGAGCACCAAGCTCCATCAACCTGGACTCTCACAGCTACGAGCGCACCAGCCAGAATCTCAAAGACCCCGGACGATACAGCTACGAGGATGCTCAGGTGGACAGTGCTGTTTGTTCCTCATGGATGAGTTCATGTGACTATACATGTTCACGCACGCATGAACACACGCTCGCACAAGTCTGAATGAACACCAGACACATGCAGTCCCGAGACACCTGCGCCTGTATACATCAGTACAGCCAATACCTCTATAGTGCTACATAGAAAGGGATTTAGTGGGAAATAAAAGGTAACCTTCAGACAGAAAGCAGTGACAAAATAATTCATGTATATTTTTTTTCATTAAAACACCTCCTTTGTACCTCATTTTAATTTATATAACTGTATATATAACTTTATTTAACCTTAAAAGCATATATAGGCTCTATTTTTAAGGTAATTTAACTGAATTCAGATGGAATTGCCCTCCACTACATCCCTGTTTACAACACACACACACACACACACACACACACACACACACACACACACACACACACACTACAGCCATTTATTTCCTCTCCCATCCACTTGTCCACAGAAATACTGAACCCTTCCACCCCACTCATGTTACACAAGTGATTGAATGAGAGGGCAGGGAGGAACAGAAAGAGAGAGGAGCGAAGAAGAATGACGGAGTGTGTTTGTGCCAGGGCCTAATGAGGCGAGTAATGCCATGAATAGGTTGTTCGGTCAGTTTACTGTGGATTCCTCTGGTTCAAAGTGGGTTGGCGATGTGTGACGTGGAACGCCTCTCACTGGCAGGACATTACTCAGCTCTGTCTCACAGGACTCCGGCGTTCATGTCGGCACGCTGAGTTTGCATCGCCACCTCCTCATAGCATTACCATAATCAGACCTCCTTTGTTTGTTGTCTTTATTTTTCCTTTTCAGTCCACGTTCTCACCCAGCCAACACACACTCATCAGTTTTTCTTTCTGTTGCAGGAGCACATATTCAAGCTAATGAAAAGTGACAGCTATGCACGCTTTTTGCGATCCAACATCTACCAAGACCTCCTGTTAGCCAGAAAGAAGGTGAGCTGCACTAAATGACCCCTATCTCACTTCTTCTTTTTACAAGCATTTGTTACTCTTATTGCATTTCTCATATTGTTTTCTTTTTTTTATGATTTTAAAGACATCCCAGGTTCTACTGTATATCTATATGGTCAGGAATTTGGTATTTAGACTGCATTATACTCCATTTTGGAGGCAAATATTGTACTTTTCACTCCATTGCATTTATTAATCAGTTACTTTGCAGATACAAAATATAATCAGCTATGAGAAAGAGTGTTGTACTAGTATAGATAAAGCTACCTGACAGTATATATGAAGTAGCTCAAATTAGCCTCAACTTTACTTGCTGCAACTTTAGTGTTGCTTACACATTAATGTATCAATAATTATAATGCAATACTTTTATATATATTATTCTGAAATGGGCCATTCTGCATAATGACTACTTTTACCTTTGGTACTTGGTTCTTCTGTACTTTTGAAATTTTGAAAGAATGACTAGAATAACAGAGTATTTCTACACTGTGGTATTGCTGCTTCTGCTTCTGCCAACACTAGTTAGTGAGGTTTTATAACATGGGGAAAGCAACTCAAAACAGCTCAACATGTAGGACTTGTGCTTTAAGGTAATCCGATAACACTTACATGCTACATGCTGGTGGATCATGTTAAAGTCATTTGGCAGCTCTTAACAAGGTCTGGTGATAAGCAATTAGAGGCTGCCATGGGATGCTAATAGAGCCCCCAAAAGGCATAACAACTGTGCTGAAGACGCAGGTGCAGGGAAACTGCTAAATTATGTAAAATGTCAAGTGAACAGTCTCGAAAAACATGACATCATATGCCAAACATGGACAAACTGCTGTGTGAAAGAGGAACAACAGTCATGCTGTCGATAGAGATTACCAGCATAGATATGACAGAAAGTATATAAGTGTTTATAAGTGTAATTTTTAAGACTTGCGCAGCTGAACAGTCATTTAGCTGTTACTGTGTAATATGGAGCTTTCCAGGAAATCACAGCTGCCTCTGTTCATGCTAGCCTTTCTGCCCTTTCCCGTTTGGACACTGCTCCTTCTGCTGGCCTACTGACCCCACGCCATTGCCTAAAAATGCAACTCCCACATTGTCCCCGGCCCTCATTTTTGCAATGCTTGACCCCCTTTTCCCCCTCACTAACTACCCCACCCCCCACCCCCGACCCGCGTCAACACCCGTACCTGACCCAAACACTCACCCTGCTTCCCCCTCCCAAAACAGCAGCCAGCAGACACTGAACAGGGCCGCCGCACCTCCTTGGAGAAGTTCACCCGCAGTGTGGTAAGTCATTTGGAGCTGGGGCTGTTCATATCACAAACCACACTGGCTGGCTCACTATCTTTGCAATTATAACCATATTTCACTCAGTTATGGCTCTTAATACATGTACTAGGATGTGTATTTGTGAATAAGATAACATGCTAGTCACATGAATGGTTGCAACCAAGCATTTTAGATTAAAAAGAGCACCTTGTTGGTAGAGATGTGTGATTTATAAAGTATTTTCAGCATCTCAGTCTAGAAATGTGTTTTCGTTTTAATTGACCTTCTAGGGCAAGTCATTGACGGGAAAGCGGCTGACAGGCCTGATGCAGTCATCCTGACACAGCCTGTCCTGGAGGGGCACTGCCGGACCCTGTTGGAGGGGTGACCGCCACACGGGGGCCGGGGCAGGGGGACAGACAGTGGAGTTGGGTTGGACAGGGCTGCTGTGGAGGCTCTCAGACACTGCTCCGAGGACTGCTGCCATACTGGTAGTGCAGCACTGGGCCTGCTGGTGTGAACGACCCAAACAGAACTACTGAGGAAAAGACAATTCTGACAAGGGGAACCTCAACCAACACAACACATGGCATGCAGCATACAGTACAAGCACATTCAGAGTAGGGCTGCCCTCTTTTCAACACTTTGTTTTTATAGATGTGTCCATTTTGTTTTATAGACGTGTCCATTGGATAGTTAAACATATATCAGTTATTATAACAAAATTATTTGAGAAAAAATATATTTTCTGCAATATTTGCAATGAACTGATTGGTTTAGCATTGGTTAACAGCTGGGGCCAGTCAAATTTGCTGAAAAAGGTCAAAGAGGCACATCAACACAGACACAAATCTACAATCTTTTTTGCATATGTCTCTGTACTCACAAGGCAGTTAGCAATAAATAAAGTGTGAGACCACTTTTTTTTGAAATATATCCAACCTCTTTTTATATCCATTTCTATTATATCTGTTCCTTATAAAGCACATGACATGTCAGTTAAATAGTTTTGGCACTAGTCAAAAATACAAAGTTGCCCCCCCCCACCCTACCCCACATAGGTGACCTTGAATAACAATGTTTCCATGCTTCATTACATTCCAAAATCTGGCATAAGGGCTTAATGTAGCATTCACACTGCACCGTTGCACGTGTCATCCAAATGTCTTTGCTGAGGATTAATTTCATTTCCACAACAGTGCTTTGTAATGGGGTGAATTTAATCCAGTTGGCAAATTGGTTCACTGCTTTCACAACTTCCAGGCTTCAAGTTCCAAAATGTTCAGGCTGCACAGTCAAATTAGTAAATTCCAAAAGTCTGTGAATAACTGGAAAGCATCAATACAAACATGGCACATATGGCTGTTTACTCAGAGTTCTAGTGTGCATATAGCATCCACTTGCTTTCTGGGCTCCTACTATAGTGTAGTTTTTAAATTTTCCAGTGCCACAGGTCCATCTAGTGGTGGTTAAACCACAGGACCAGCAACAGAGTGTTAAAAGACTGTGTTAAACTGTGTTCGCATCATTTCGAAGGACATGATGTCAAAACTAGTTGTTCTCCGATCGTGGAGATATTTCAAGGTCTGCAGCCCAATATGGGATCATTTATGTTTTGTTTCTTTTTTAATGCATGAATATATCATCTTTTGTTTTCTCAAAGCAATGAAACCTGCCCTCTTTTGTTTGGCAAAATGTATGCCGTGACTCCCCACCTTATAATCTTCATGTGTTTTAATGACTATGGGGAAAATGGTGCATGTTATGTGACCATAATGGAGTTTTAACTTCTGGGACAGATGGTTTGACTCTCCAAAGACGGCGCACAGATGGGGAAAAGCCCTGAACTGCAGCAGCAAAACTCAGTGAACGGACATCAAAGCCCTGACATGCAACTGGGAACAATATTTGTCATGGCTGCCGCACACTGAACATGGAGGCCTCTGTGCTCCACTGTGGCTTCGAACTCTTCTGGAAACAGAAAGTGCTTGGACTGAGGAGATTTGTCTCAGCTCCCCATGAGGCCAGTGACTGCTACATTGACAGACTGCTGAATGAGTCATCGTCCATTATTTTCTATTACAGTCATTGCAATGCACTGTACAGGTCATATTAATAATTATCATTATTATCATAAACCAATAACCTCTTGATTATAAGGTAGAGAGAGATGCTTAACTCGAGTCGATGTACCAAATGTTATTCTCAGCACAAACTATGACACTATGTACAGGGTGCATTGTAGATGTAAATTGGCTAAATTCCATTATCCAAAAGCACACTTTATTATTATATGGGCACATTACTATGCATGTAACATATTCAGGGCGTTGTGTGCTTTTAGTTTCTCAATCAGTAAGATAACTACTGGCACTCCAAAACACTCAAGCACCTGCTATCTACTCATGGGTACCAAATAATAAAAACTCTGGACCTGTCTGCTCTGTGCCACTCTTTTGTCGTGTTTGCTGTTCTGCGTGAGAGAAGAAGTCCAGTGTGCGTCCTCTTTCTGTTTCGGCTGAGATCTGATGCCTTTGTCAGGTGCTGATGCAAACTGGCGCTGACCGTTTTCAGGTGTATTACAATACAAGGCGGCAGGTATATTACCATATGTGCTAATGTAAATCACAAAACACTTTCCTGTTTTTAGTCACACTTTTCTGTGTTCACTACCACACACTCGTAATGCCTGGTAGTATAGTAGCACTCATCATCGGTAGTAGCATTTATCTGCTTGCATAAAACAGGGCTCTATGTTCCCCAGGTCAATATCTATTTAATAAGACACATTAAGGAGACCTTTCAAAGGGTTTTATGTTCTCAGCAATGCCTTTTGGTCTAGGTCAAATGTTAAATGTACGCTTTCCTGGGTCAATAATTTAAAATCACCCACGTACAGCTTAAAGCCTCCTTGAAACTACACCCTGAAATTTTCTTGACTTTAGACGTCGATAGCTCCGAAGTAACTTAACAGATTTTTATGTCCATCTCCCTTTGTTCTTTTGCAACTACAAAGATAGGACGATATTTTCCATTGTACTGTATTGTATCCCCCTGCGACCCTGTACGCAGGATAAGCAGTTGATGATGGATGGATGTATTATATCCAGAGACACACATGCTGGGAAAATAGGAAGCTGGGAACATAGGACCCAACCAGCCTATGGAGCTTTAGGAGGTGGTCCATGGTAGCAGCTCTGTGAGGCTGTCTGTATGAGCTAACTGGTAAAATGTTGACAGTGTTCACCATCCTAGTTCAGTGTGTTAGCATGCTAATATTTGCTAATTAACACTAAACAAAAAGTGCAGCTGAGGCTGATGGGAATGTCTTCATTATTTTGCAGGTATTTTGATAACTTGTTGATTGTGGTAGATGAAAAGTTAATGGATCACTAAAGTCATTCAAATTTATTTTATTATGACATGAGTTGTGGTTTGGAGACTAGGCTACACATTTAGAACAGAAAGCCTGTGTTACAAACTGGCAGAGGCATTGTAGAGGTAAACTGGCATTTACCTAGCAGAGAAGGTCTAATGAAAAGATTCCTTTGAGTTGTATTATGGGAAATGTGGGATCCATTTTTTTTTTAAAATGATATGAAAATTCAATGCAAAATCGCTGGAGTGCCCCTTTAAAGCAATATCATGTAAGATCTGGTGTTTTGTGTGATTAGCCTCCCCACTCTACAGTTAGAGTGTAATAAACTGTTGTTGTAACTAAGGAAAGCTGTACACATATATATGACTACATTACTTATGGACAAAATTAGGAAGTCAACAACTTCTGCTGCTTACACAGTCAAACATCAAGGAAGTGCAACAACACAAGACATAGCAAGCCACCTGGGCTATTACTTACAACAGCAAGGCGGCTGGCTTGGCATCTGATGTGCATTGTTGCCATGCCAATGAGTAAAAGCTGAAGTCATGTTGGTGTTCAAAATTATTTTGAATCTATTATTTTATACATAATGTTGCTTCAAGTTCTCCAGAAAACATGATGTCCCAGTAGTCCAACGAAATAGACTATGTGAGAAAAATTTTTAAATTGTGACATATCTATATATTTGCCTAAAATTGTATCTTGCTTGCCAACATATTTTAGGATTTAGTTCCACCCATTAGGTAATATAATGCTTGACAGCGGTGGCATTAAGTTGTTGCTTTGACCTTTATACGTTTCTCTATTCCAAAACGTACACGTCCAATCCCAGTGATGTAGTTTCTTGCTCGTTTAAATGCTATTATACTGCCACTCTGTGATGAAGTGATTTGACACATTTAATAGGATCTATGTGGTACCTGTTCTCGTAACATTCATAACCGTCAATCATTTTTAAGACTCCAAACCTTTCGACTTTATACCTCCAGTTAACATTCAGACACGATACTGCTAAGAGCAAATATACCTCTCTGCTGGCACATGCAGTTGCTTGTATATGACTTCTACCAACTTACTTGTAATTTCCTCAGCAGTGCCTACGGATCGATAAAAGCTCCTTGTGCTGGAGCCTCTTTTTGTTGTCTTGTTCCTATTTAGAATCCAGACCCACCACTGCTCTCTCAAACTCAAGTGTTATTTTTTACCCTCCTCGTCTGCTCACAGAGTCTGAGGGTCACTCCAACCTATTGATCCAGTCTAGGAATCTTCTGCTCATCAGCTGCCTTTTCAAAAATGAGTTGTGGTACGTCTTAGAAAAACAGCACCGAGCATTATGTTCCTTCTTTATTTTTTTCAGAACAATAAAAATAGTTTAACAAACAAAGACTTCTTCATTCTCTCCATTTTGACTTGTATTTACAGCTGAAGATGAAACAAACGCCCAGTCATGTCCATTTCATCTCCTCTTGGCTCCGTTCCCACCCTGATCCCCCCCCCCCCCCCGGCAGGCTTGACAAGAGAGTACCAGGGCCTATTGCTGTGTCTTTGATGAGGTATACAGGCTATTCAATGATTGGTGACACATAATTCGAAGCAGACATCACTGACTTTTGCATTTTAGGAGCTTCTCTTTTTGTTCAGAACCGCACCACACTAAGCCCGTTCATATACGGTAGGTAACATTAAGCAGGTTATGATTGATGACACATGCTGCCACTTACTGGCATTACTTCGGAAGATAAAAAGACACAAAGACCCATTTTTAGTGTGGACACACCACATTAACTGACACAAGAGAAGAAGACAAGATCCTTGAGAAGTCTCAGATCCATTCTTTGACCAGAGGAGACAAACTGCTGTGGGGAGGTTCCCTGAGGGGAAGTGACAAAAAGGGGTTTGAAAGCACAAGTCATACCACACACATAGGATAATGGTTAGCTTCAAAAACAGAGCGGCTGTTATTACATTGCAGCGATACTGAATAATCACATGGAGGACACAGACCTCTTACACGACTGTGCAACCTATGGACCTAAAAGGCTTTTTGATACAGAACTTCAAGCACCTTCTAAATGTCATAAAGCAATTAGGCCCTCAAAAGCACTCAACGGAAATGTCACAGATAGCTTGGATTTACAGTTTTCACTTCTCACCAAGTATGTGGATGTGAGCAGAGTTATGTCTCTCTAGCAACATCATTGTTTTTCAACGCATTGGAGAGGATTCTCCCTGTCGTCACAATCTAGAGAATGTAGGTTTTAAACAGAATGTGGAGAGGCTTTGCATGGAGAGTGTAACACCAGATAAAAGTCAGCAGAGACCAGACTGAAGCTCTGTTATTGCGATGTTTTCCTATAGTATGAGACTGCAGCATCCCAAATCCCACCTGGGAGTTGATTATAACGGGATCCTTGTGTGGCGTTATTGTCCCTCCGTGCCAACTGAATACAATCACATGAGTGGCTGAACAATCGACAGCAGAGGAAATGAAAGATGCCTGAGTAGTTGTGGCTATTGTGCACCTGATCAGGACAGAGTATCAATACAGTCTGAACAAACCCAAGAAGTCATACTAATTAAACTTTAAAGAGTTCAAAACATAGAAATATTATACAAGAGAAAGGATGCAAAAACATTTGCTAGATTACTGCAACGCATTTGAGTCAGCGAGGCGCAGGAAATAGAGAGCAAAAACAGACAGAGGCAGAAGCAGAAAGTAAAACTTTTGCGTCCATGTCAGAGTACAGTAGTAGTAGTAGTAGTCGTCCAGAGGTCTGCATGTAATAGTGGTGGATTTGAGCACCATCTCTATGGCTGGGGGTCAGGGGGTCACCGTTCCAATCAGGTTGGAGGGTCATGGCTGTCAGAGCTGGTTTCCAGTGCAGAGCGGCAGGCTGGCACAGTGATGAGGATAATGACGTCTTAGTGTCACATCTGATCACACAGCGGACACCTTCACAGAGCAGGAGTGGGCAGGCTGGGCCGCGAGGGGCCCCAAATGCACCCGTTGGGCACAAACAGTCCAAAGGCCTGGCCTTTAGTGTTCCCGTAGTTCAGTGGAGCTCCAGCACAGTGCACAAAAGGATGAAATGAAGCTGGATCTACTCTCATTTCAAATGTTCGGAAGGGATCGATACATATTGTCAGGGGAGCAGTTGCTTCAATTAAGCCACATATCCTGTAGGAGTGGTGGATATCTATTCATCCATTTCAGTCCATTATTTTAGGCCCAAATCAGGAGGGACATGAAGGCTCATTAGTTTTTGCATTAGTTTTTGAGCATGAAATCCTCTTCTTCACTGGTCACCCCATTGATGGGCCACATGCCAATGTGCTGAGTACTCCTACAGTATATAAACATAAACATGGGTTACACTCACCATAATGTGTCTGAAAAAGAGTCTACAGCCATGCTAGTGGCTCTGTGAGGCTGTACTTAGGCACAGAGGTGCTTTGAGCTAAACACTAACGTCAGCATGTTAACATGCTCACAATGACATTTAGTAAAATTGCTAATGAACACTCACAGTACAGCTGAGGCTGATGGGAATGACATTGCAGCTATTTGGTCACAAACCAATACTGGACAAACTGAAATGGTGACCTGCTTTGGGCACTAGAGGAAACGTCAGGGGATCAAGTCATTAGGATTCACCCTCGGAGGACCATGAATATTGGTACAAAATGGAATCCATCCTGTAGTTGCTAAAATAATTCAGTCTGGACCAAAGTGGTGGACTGAACGACAAACATTTTCATTCCTAGCATGGCTTATAGCTATAATACTATTCAATTCCTGCTCTTGTTACTGTGATTTCAAAGGACTGAGTTGATTGAGTGATTTTCATTTGCAAAGCCAAATTAAACTGAATCTGTTTGACAAACAAAATTCAATATACAGCATTTAGTACTAATCAAATTTATGCTTGCATTATAGAAACACTATTCGAGAAAACTAGTTTTGTAACCCAGTACAACTCATTCGTAGTCTAAATGTTAAAATTCTTTCAACCATCTGCAGAATTTCTTTTATTTTCTAAACAAGAAAAAAGAAACC